GACGTACGCATACATAAATATACCATGAAAGACCCGTATTGTATTATCCTATATCAATGGTTTCCAAAGTGGGACTAACCGTAAGCGTTCTTCCCCACAATCTTTCGAAAGTTTCACAAATGATCGATGGCCACAAATCGTACAAAAATATATGACATAAGGTACAAATGTAATTTGATTACACAACAGACGTATTATACGATGTCGTACGAGGTGCAATTTTTTCAAATCTAATTTCGTATAAAATCGAGACTGGAAAAGAAGTAATAAAAAGAATAAGAATAATGTTCTAGATACGTGAAAATGTCACGAAAACACAGTGCGCGGGGCTTGGAAAACAGTTTGAAAACCACTGTCTTGCGTAGACCGCGTGGCGACTTATAAACAGGGAGGATTACGATGATTAAATTAGAAAATACCGTGTTCTAATCGGCTTAGCGCACGCATACTGCAGATGTACCGCGTATCCTGGTACGGCGGCGTCGGCGTGTTTTTCGAATTTCACTGATTTATTTTAATTTTAATTTTATTCTACGATCCAATGAGCATTTTTTTTCTTCCTTCTCAACATCAAATGATATACGAGTGGTGCGTGCATGCGTTACATGTATAACAGGCCGCCAAGACGTCCCGGGTCGTTTTATTGTCACGAATCCCGGCGGCACAATGCATTAACGAAACCGTCGTCCGGTTAGCTCTGCACACGCATCACCATCGTATATCGTCCGAGTATTATTCTTCGTTCGCGATACGAAGTTCAAAAAACCAACACGGGTTGCGACGTAGTGTTATTCTATATAATCACCTTTGCCGTAATGTGGCGTACATCATGCAATGCACCGTGACTTGGAACTCCTAACGGCGACTGCGGGATCTTGGAAAAACGATGCGCGTCCGGAATTTTCGTTTGAATCGACTCGTCTTTGACGAGTTGACCACCGACGCGAAGCCGCGTACGCTCTTGGTGTAGTTCGATTAAGAATAAAACACTCGTCCGATTGTTCCTTCGGACCGCCATGATCGACACGAGCTATATATCGATCGGTTGGAACGAATAAAGTGACCGACCCGGTTCAAATCCATGTAACAGAGCCAAGCCGAATGCGACACTGTGAGTCGAACCAATCGGTCAGAAAGTGATCGGCTAATTTTCTAGGAAGAACCGAAAGAAACCGTGTAATCATAGTAGCCGACCGGACCGGGCCCATTAGCCAAAATAAATAAATAAAACGACAAATATTGACCTAAGGAATTTCAAATCGATTGGTTTACGCCTAAAACAGTTGTGCAAAATGTTGATTTGCAGGTTACTCGAACCATTATTCGTTTCGAACGTGTAAAAACACCTCATGCTCGCAACAATGTTCTATACGTAGTATGGCAACAGACGATTGTTTTACCCTTCTGAATGCGTATTTCAATTTTTAATACGCTTGAACGTCTCTTTCGGAGTTGTACAAATTAGAAAAATATAAACGAATATGTATTATACGTGTTATAAATAAGTTGTACGAGAAAATCGAATAAATCAAGCTACTATAACAAACGAAAAAATGTGCCTTATCAAAGAACGGGTCGCTCTCCGGGGAATTCTTTTCACATAACGTACTACGATATAGTATAATACGCATTTTTAAAACGCACGTATGTCTCTTTCGTTATTAGTCTTATTCATTGTGTTCGGCGTCTGTACACGTGACGCGCACTATTTCGTTTTACACTTGCATTGACTCATAATACGGGTCACCGTATCTCACCGTCGTCGCATAACTCAATCGACCGAATAGGGTTGAACGCGTAGTAATAATAATATGTTGGACATTATAAATTCGTTCTCGTCGACTGGGCGTTATTTTCTTTATCTTTTTTTTTTTTTTTTTACTGTAGTGTAGCAAGACGAGGAGAAACAACCCTTTGCTACCAACCCCCGTCGTCATGTCCGCAATGTACTGGGTACCTATATTATTGTACCCCATCCCTGCAACTGTGCGATGACTGTAGCACATTGCTAATGACATGCTACTAAATCACTTGGACGTACGCGTTTTGGAACGGATGGATGTAGATCACACGCTCGTAGTCTATCGTTACGCAGCGGTGGTGGAGGTGGTGAACATTCCGTACGCATTGCGTATACAGGCCAAAAAGGCGTAGTATTATACTGCGAGCATTGAACGTCGTGACGTGGGGGTGGAAAAATACAGGAACCCCGGCGTTATTTTTTCCATCGACTTCTTGAGGCGGCGGTCCGCTGCAGGAGTGTTACCCTTTACAAATCAAATCTTTTTATTTTTGTTCCGTATTTTTTTCCTCCTTTCCCGTGCACCGCTATGGGTATCCTTTATTATTATTATTATTTTTTGCTAGTAGTCCGCTGTGTGCGTATCCCTCCACCGTCCGTTGCAGCGCAATTAATCGATTTCACGGTTTTGACTGGGACCGTGTTTCTCCTCGACGAACGTGCGTGGGCTTATTTTTTGTATTTTTTTTTTTTACCGTCCTACCGCCTTTTTATTCAAAAGCATATAGTAATAATAGAAACCACCACACGACTCCAAAAAGAATCGATAGAATTATACGCGTGTGTGGCGGACCTTCTGTTGTTATATGATATATATAAATGTATAAATCGTACGCTAGTCGTCCACCCCTTCGGTGCGATACTGAAACGTTGCATACAGAAGCTCCCCACGTGTATAAAGAAACAATGATCATTCGGGGTGGAATCTATTGGATGAAAACAGAGATGGGGTGCTGGAATAAAAAACGTACCAAAAAAACACACCCTCACGATGATTTGCGTGTAATGGATCCATAGTTACGAAAAAATCTATACGCATTATTATTATTATTATTATTGTTAAATGATATTTTATTATAACTCCGAGATATATATTTATTTTGCCGATATTTTTCCCTTATAAAAAATATTATTAATCACATCGTATACGACACCCGTGACGATGGATTTCTTTGATTTTTATTATTTTATTATTATTACACAACAGCTACCAATTTTTTTCTCGAACCGTTTCTTGTACACCGTACGTGCATATGTGTATATAAAGCATTGGGTGTCCGCATCGTAAACACTATTGCACTTGTCCGGATTACGTCTGCTACAAATGTCACACCACCTCCCGTTCAAAAAACGCGTTTCATTCGATTTCTCGGATATTAATCTCGATTCCGTATTATTGTCATTGTGTTACGCGAGCGTACGTGTTTGCGAGCGAGTTACCCGTCAGTGTGTCACGTCGATGGTACGCAATCGTCGTCGTAGTCTTTTTTTTTTTTTTTTAACAAACGAAATTTTTCGTTACCACTCCGATAGGAATTTCAACCTGCGTAAAGTGTTGTTTTGCGTACACGACGAGTGGTGATATACGGTAACATTCGAGAAAAACTATCATTTGAAAGTATTCAGCGTGAGGACGAGCCAAAGTATGTTTTGCAATAATTGTTACGATACGTATACAAGTATCACGGAGAGAAGAGCACACGATAGGAAACAATAAACATAATTATAATATTGTGATGTAGCGCGTACGAAATGTATAAAATATATTTTTACGGCGTTGTTACGCTCAGTTCATACATTGAAAAGGTAATACACATATTAAAATTGAAATTAAAACAATAAAATACGTCGTGTTCACCGTACGAAAAAAAGGATTTTTATTAAAAAAAAATCCCTAACCCTAATATAATTTTTTTTTTTTTTTAATTATACGATTTTCACGTAAATAATTTCCGTGACATTTTTGAAATATTACTGCAATACACACGAGGTTAAATAATTAGTTTTGAAAATAAATTTAATTCACTCATTGTTGTAACATTAGTTATTGAACAATGTTTGAATTCGGAATAATTATTATGCTGAACGTAAGATTTTAAACGAATTCGAATTTTTCTTTATATTTAGATTTTAGCGGTGTATCAGGTGTGAAGCTGCTGCATCATATTTACGTATTATTTCAAGAGTTCGATTCGAAAACTGGACTAGGAAAAAGAATCTTAAAAATAGATGATCTTATCAATTTCGTTAACTCTAAAAATGTGAAATTCCCAATAAACACCGTGGTTTACACGATTATATATTTCTGGATACAATAATCTTGTAAATTGAAGTCGGACTAGCTTTAAAATCACACACGAACCCATGGTTTTAAAAAAAAAAAATCATAAAAATTTCTTTTCTCGAGTAAGTCGACGAGAAAGGATTATCGCATGAATTTTTTTGGCTCAAATAAATTTCTTATTTGTGATTAGAGTATTCCGGTGGCACGAGAAACTTATAACCATATTCGTTGTGTTTTCATGTCCGATTCTGCAAAATTCTGCACCAGACCCCGAAAACCGTCGGGCCGACACTGCCCAATACGTTTAACAATACGAGTAGCGCATGAACCGTTCGTCGTAATTCAATACGACTAGACGGACACGAGCTGAGTTACTCGTACGATTGTACAGGGGTGTATTTTAAAGGGGAAGAGACAATTACCTCTCTTCTCCCCTGAATCCTTATTTAAAGAATTGGTTATATGTGAGATACACATTACAAATTTTTTTTGATGTGGATCATTTTATAACGAAATTAAATTACGCATGGCTGTGAATACTAAATTAGGCTTTTGTCGGGTCCATACTTAGTGAAAAATCAAATAAAACACGAGCGTAACTTTCAAAACACAGGCTGGTGTTAAAAAATAATTACACAAAAGTCGATCTAAGTGGACTAGGTATTAGATTAAAAAAAAAAAAAACTACAAATAATAATGATTAATGATTCCTAACCTGATTTATATATTACGAAAAATTTTACTAGTACTATTTGAGCCTGAATTTAAGAAAAAATTTGATTCGCCCCCCTCCCCCTAGAAGTAATTGTAAACACGCCCCTGGGATCGTACAAAGCCGAGTCCGTTGCGAGTCCGCGTTGTGATCAAAACCACGACCAGACACGCACCTTGTCCGCGGATCACTCGTTTCACATTTTCCCGTCCCATTGTCGTTCATATCAACCGAAAACGCGATTGCTGCTGTTGTATATGTTTGTGTACAATGCGCTCTCTGACTCCGCTAGTTGTGTGGGCGCTGTTCGCGGCTAACGGCGGCACACGTGTTTTTCGTTTTCCTATTCATGCAGAGAGACGCTCGTCGTTCGGCATAATTGGACACGGGCAGATGGCGAACCCATTGAATGCATTAATCTTGCACGTACAACAAATCCGAAACGTCGTACGGATATTTAGCGAATAATCGATCATAAAACCGTGTAAGTATACTTACGGGAAACACGTTCCGAACGAAAAATACGTGTTTCGCGGTCATGGTGATCGGGAAACAACACATCTAGAAAATGCACAGAACTCCGGCCTTAGAAGGTATAGAAAAATAAGAAATTCTAATGTACCATTTCACCAAAAAGTTGAATTACCTGTTCGGCAAAAACTCGGAATTTATGCATAATTCGTTTGTTAACGAAATTTTTTGAAAACATTTTAAATTAAATATTCGTTGTTTGCAATGCTTTATTTCATATTATTAAAGTTTTTATTTTTATAAATATATATATATATATATTGTTTTATTAATATATTTTCAGTGATTTCTTATTTTTATTTTTACCCGAAAAATATATTTTTTAGATTTTACCGGAAGAGTTTTGGTATTTTAGTCTCTTTATAGCGGAATAGTTTTTCGGTTGGTTCCAAATTATTGTTTTTAAAATTAAATAAAAAAAAAGGAATTTTTAATTTACACGTTTTAACCGACTTTAATTAACAGTATTGTCCATATTTTTAATTATAAAGTAAATAGAAATATTGGAAAAAGTTTAATACGTTTTAATATCAATCTGACTTTTAATTATAATGGGCTAGTATTCATTTTATTTTTTTTCATTGAAATTTGTGCAAATGTTTAGTTACCTAAGCAATTAAGATTTTAATTTGAAATGTAGTAAGTGGAACTAAAATTTTTACTCTGAAATTCAACCACTCACCCAGGTTAGATGAGTTTGATTGAGTAGATGTGGGTAACTTAAAGTCGACATTTGAATCCTACTGTGAAACATAAATTAGACGGTATCTGAAATGTATTGCAAGTCTTGATCGTTTGTGCAACACATATTTTTTGTTTCATACATTAACGCCGAAATTTTTATTAATTATGAAAAAATGCAAAGTTAAAAAAAAATTAAAACTACTCTTTTGTGAATATATCATCATCGTATTATTTATAACTAATTACCTTGTTAATTATTGGCCCGTTGATGAAATCTCTGCAATATTGCGCAATGCTGCACATTATCGTGAACAACAAACGTTATCGTTACTGCTATACATTATCATACGCATAACTGAACAAATTACGAAACAACTCGGGTGGATAATTATTTGTACATATTTAACGAGTTACAGCCGCCGTCAAAATGTAACCTATTTTTTCATATATATATATATATATTAGTAGTAGTGCGAATAATAATAATAATAACAGGAAACGAGGAGATTTTTTATCTTTTATCGTCCACAGTTTTAATAATCATACACATTTTTACTAGCCAAAAAAAATTTTAAAAATTAGTTAATGTTGGTTAATGTTGGTTAAACGATCTTGGCTTATCGTCAAACTATATCCTAAATACAAAATAAAAATGTTTCCCTGAAAAGCCAAACAAGTGCCCAATGAAAGATTAAATAAAGAACTACGACCCACAAGTAAGATTTAGGATCACTAAGAGTGTATACTTTGAAAGCTCTTGGAAAGCTCATAAGGCCGTTTCTCGCTATTCGGCTTCGAAAACTTTCTTGATACAGAACACTCGAAATCTATCCTATTTTGAAATCCTTAATAGCCCTTTAACGAAACATATAATGTGTTATTTTTAAAAAATAAGTATTATATATATTTATTATATTATTTTGGAAACTTGTAGTAGATTTTTTACGAAGACCAATTGGATTTGACCTCTAACTAAATTATCTACGTGTATAGTCGTAACATTAAGTCAATTGACACTTATTTATGAATATACATACTACATATATAATACATGACGATTTATAAGTTAACTTTTTGTAGAAGTAGTAGAATTTTTGGGAAATTCCTACGGAAGCTCTATTTCAAGTCCATATACCATTTGAATGATTACAATATTAACAGTAAATATATTATGTACTCGTATTATAAATCGAGTTGATTGGAAACTTTAAAGATACACTTTAAAACTCCGGTTCACTATTTCTAGTACATAAATATGAATATATATTTAGCTTATCAATATTTCCAGGAAATTTGCTGCTGTTCAAAGGATGCTGGAAGGTGAATTTTTTAACATGGCTTTCTGTTTATAAGACAATTTCAAGTTTTGTGAAATAAACGAAAAAATCGAGTATCTGAAAATTGGTCTACACAAATAGCATGGATCAATATTGTTGAAAATAATAAAAACACTATGTGTAACGTGCAAAAAATCTTATCGAACGGTAATGTCAGCCTGGGCTAAGTAGTACGTTATATGTATGATTACAGATATGACTTTAGAACAAAATATGTACGTTTGAAAGGTTCGACGTCCTACAATGTAACGTTGGTGCTGGTGACGCATTGCGTTATATTGTTATAGCATCACGGCCGATAAACGTTTTATGGTGCGAATGGCGTTTATTACTGCACATTTCGGGATTTCGAATACCTAGTTCACCGTTTTGACGATTCAAATAGCACGCAAACGGATCTCGGGCCACCCCGTTCCGTCGTTATCGCGATCGTGAACTTTTGGTAAATTAAAATACGATTTTACAATAATAACAACTAACAATGTCTCCGCGACCGTTTACGTAATATTATTTTGACATGGTAAGAACTCGCGTGACGGCTGCAGCTGTACGTGACGCTGTGCGCTTGGCGATGACATCAAAGACTCGGCGGCGCAGAGACGGTGGCGCAAGGACCGGATTTATCTTTAAATATATATAAAAACACACACGCGCGCACATTACGTTATTATCGTTCCCGTCGTAATTACGAAAAACTTCCGGTTCGCGAGCGCAGTCCTTTGTGTAGAATTCAATTACGGTTTTATTATACGCCTATGTGTACAGTGGAGTTTGAGTGTGTGTGTGTGTTGTGTGCAGATGTTTTGATCAACTGACGATCGCGGTTTCGGCTACTCGTAGTCGGTCTACAGCAAGTGATAAGAAAATAACAGACGAATTATTGTTTAAACGTGGTTTCAGTGATCCGCAGAGTGGCGAAAGGGTGACCAGAAAGGAAATTAATAATGATTCGATGAACTCAACATCTCTGGATCTCTATGGTGTACCAGTTGGTTTTTTCCCTCGCGTAAAGATTTTTCCCGAAAACATAATTGTATCGAAATGTATCGATGATGCACTGAAGCAGTTTTATTACGTTTTTAAACTCATTAATCTTTGGCGGTTCGTGGAGGAAAGATGCTGCCAATTTAGTGAATACAGGATTTGCCGTGTAGAATTTCTCGTCCGAGCAAAGGCCAATAGTATTCAACGCGTGCATCGAATAACACCGCGCATGAAAGTATATGTTCTGGATTTTGTTGCATCTAAAGCTGTGTCGAAAACGAATAATATTTTTTTTATCGAAATCCAGTACTTTCCATAAAACAGCTAAATCACGAAAATGAAACTGTAGATAAGCGTTATTCTATATTTTGAACGATGTCATGGGAAACGTGTTTAACTAATTGTTTAACTACGCTAATTAGTTATTTATACTTAAGGGTGTAATGATTAATTATACGTCTATACAGCATGTCTGTATGCACCCATATCCAATCGTATTGTTTCAAGTACTACACTATGGTAAAGTTTTGTCCCAGATTTCACGTATGATTTATTATGACTGTAAACTAATTATAGTTGGGTCTGGTATTTTTATATCAACGTAATTTTATCAAACGTTTTACTTATGTAAATGTATTAACGATTTTAATTTTTATCACTCACATTCACGATACATTTTTTGAACTTTTAAACCTACTAATAAATAACTGTGCTTAACTTTGTGTGAGTACTTTTATTTATATAATTTATATGAATTTTTATTATTGAGGATAATTTTTTTGCACTCTGTGTGCAACAGTAAACAAATCGATTAATCAAATTCATCATAATAATTGTTGTAACGTTGAGTTCTCATCTAAATTTATATTTTAACAAAATAAACGGTGTTTATAAATATTTATTACATTCCCAGAAATGATTCCAAAAACCACAATGTTAATGGTATTTTTAATTTGGAATTTTATGTATTTTCATGCTTTTTGTTATAATAGTTTCTCATGATAGCTGCTTATAGAAAATGAGTACGCTGACCAAAATCAAACTGTTTCAATAAACGAATTAGCAAAACGAATCAAGATTATGAAGTTTTTTTTATATTATAGTATGTACTATACATTTATTTCAATTTTAATTTAAAGTTTTGAGAGTCAGTGAATTATTTTTTTGATTTTTGAATTTTTTTTCTAATTCTATTTAAATAACGACACAAGATAGTGAGTGACTGAAATTATAAACATGTTTTGATCGGATATGGGTTGACAGGCTATAATAAAGAATTTATTTTTGAGTTGTGTCACGGTCATATTTAAGTTAATAGTTAAATAGTTTATTTAATAGTTAACAGTAAATTAAAATTAAATTGTATAACTTATTTTTACCCACCTAGTAACTTAGTGTAAGATTTATTTAATATTTGTTAACTATTGTTAGATTAATTTAGCAATAGTTAACCGTAGTTAATATTAGTTAGTAGTAGTTTGATCACAGAATCATGTGTTATAATAAGTTATAAATTATTATTACCTGGTCATTTAGTACAAAATTTATTTAATGATAGTTAACCGTAGTTATAATGTATGTATACTATATAATTGTAATTTATACTAGTTAGTAATATTTTGGGGTTATTATAAAAACACAATAATTTTCAATATTTCTTCGAACCATTTTAGACTTCATTGTCTGTAAAATTGTATTTTTAATAGAATTAAAATAAAATGTTAATTTGAAATACATTAATTTTTTTTTTGATAAACATTTTATCGGATATACGAGTATAATAAATTAATACGCAACAGATAAGTGATAAAATTAGTGTCAATAGTAAATGTTAATAGGTCGCACTACTATCGTGGGATGTATTGACGCTCTTCTGTACGAGGGGATTAAACCTTCATGGGGATACCAACAGTAAAAAATAAAACGCACCACGTGTAATATCCCATGTTTGAAAACACTATAATATTGTCTATGATGTAAAAATGTTGCTAGTAAAATAGCAAAAATGATGAGGAAACTCATACACACACACGCACACGATTACATTATCGATAAAAACAATTTTAAAGATAAAATAGTACAGCTCAAATGTATGTATGTGTTCAGTGTTTTGTAGTGTCATTTATTTTCGTAGAATGCAAGTCCAACGGACTACATATAATACTAATCTAACAGACTACTAATGCGCGTGAAATTATTATCGTACCTACTTGAATACGAGTTCACGCGGATGTATAATGCGATCGGACCGATATAATATGTTAATTTTGTGTCGTGCGTGATACAAAAAAAAAAAAAAGAAAAAAAAGCGATAATGCAACTGAGAACAATAAATAAAGTTCAAAGTTGACACTAATTACTGCGACAATCGCGGTCAGTTTAAAATTGTTAAATGGTGGTGGAATTTGCTTAAATGCTATTTAAACTAATCGACTGAAACACGAAATGCTTTTTAAAAAAATCTCTTCTTATTCCCCATCTATAGTATTGGAAGAATCACTGTTTGAGTTCAAAGTTCATATATTCCGCCGTTAAATGTGTGTGTATAAATCATTTATATGATTGTGTATATTAAGACGATATTTGATAACTATATGGTCTTGGCTACGTGTTATCCATTCATAAAAAAAAAAAACCTCTCACGTTTCATAGACTATTATATATTCGTCTATAGGGCTTTTTTAAACGTTAATATTACATTATACAGCTACGTTCTATTGATTAGAGGAAATTTTTTCCGTTTATCCATATGCTTCTGTGATCTATTAATATCAGTTTTTGGTCTAGTATCATATTTACCGATAAATTAGTTGAAATCTGGAAGTGAGATAAAAAATGTATATATTTTTTCACCTTAAACATATTAAAAGTACTTAACGTAAATCGATGAATGTATATATCGGAATTATTTTATAACAAAACTTTTCCACTTTTATTGATTTAAATTATAAAGCAATTAATGGGAATTTAATATAGATAATATTGTTTTTTTTTTTTTTTTATCAATGGTTTATTTAAAATGGAAAACTACTTAAAAATTAATGTTCAACACTGAGTAGGGTTGAATTGTTGGGACATATGAACACACACATAGTTTTAAATTATGGTTGACCACGATTGTACTATAATTTTATGATTGTATTCATATCGATTCAATGTTAGCACTCCGGCTATAGTCACGTAAATATTATTATCAGTTGCACTAAAATTAATTAAGAAAAAACTTGTTTTATTTAAAATATTTGGTTTTAAATATATTTAAAACAAACTTTAATTTGTTTTAATCTTTAAAACAATTGAATAAAAAAAAAAAAAAAAAATATTAAAAAAAAAAATGTATAGTAAAATTTTAATTTAAATTTACTTGAAATGAATATTTAATTCGGATCACACGTCCATACATTATTAATTATGTTCATATTTCACATTAATTTATACTATCAGTGAAACAACCTTATATTTTGTATTTACTTTAACAAGAAATTTCTTGCTGAAAGGGAAAAAGTTTAAATAATTATGATCTTAGTACAGGGTAATGTTATTATACTATCCTTGTTATAAAATAGTTATCTTAATTTTGCAGGTAAATGTTTTTTTTTTAATTTTTAAACTTCAACTAATTTTGAAAATAAAGGAAATGTTTTTATACAGTATGTACGGTTTTCTTTTGAGTTAATATATAAAAACGGATTGTTTGAAAACCAGCTTATCCATAAGTGCTCCTACATTCAAATGCATCAATTTCGTAGACATATATTTTCATTCAGACTACTAATGCAACAATCATCAAAGGATATTTTTTTGCATTTAACACGTTTTGATTTCAAATCACTTTTAGTTTTATCCGCTTTCTTTTCGATAAATAACTTCCCAATTCCATCCTTCCTTCTTCCAATTAATATGATTGATTACTTTTAATGAAATACTCACCTATTCATTTTCACCAAATATATTTATTGTGTAATTCAAAAATAAAGAGTATTTAGTTATTAGTAGCAAAATTAAATTACTTTATGACATGTTAATATTAACCTTGAATATCGATTTATCACAAATTGTACCGAAGTAAATGTATAAAATTATTGATTTACAAAATTAGTCACCAGGTATAACTAAATTAAAGTTTAATATCATTTGTCATACAGTAATCCAAATGTCAATTTTCTATGACAGTTTATTACGACCTATATGAATGTATTTAAAATATTTCATTGATCCAGAGACTTTGATTTTTTACAGTAGTTAAATCATCTTGTCGAACCAGAGACATATTTTTATCAGAGTCGTTTTTAAATTAATATTCAAACTGCTCAGAAGAAAATTCAGTTGATTGGGCATAACAAAACTGTTAAATTTGTAGTATATTTATTTATACGTAACATTAAATATATTTTTATTGGTTACGGTTAAAATATTTTGATATCGACGAAGTAATAAAAATTGGACTGTTACAAAACATCTAATACTTGAATCAAAGTACAATTATATAAGAAAGTTCAAACTAATATAAAATACTAGGATCAAATAACAGTTATGAATAAACAAATGTCTAAATCTACGTAAATACAAATATTATTCAAGAACACCAGAAACCAGAGAAAACGAGCAACGAAATGAAAATCGAATGAAAATATTATAGCAGAATCAAAGCATATAAAATTAAAAACAAGTAGTTACGATCAACTCAAGCTATCAGTGAATAGATAAAATCTATAAAGAAGATCATCTCATAACATTCAAATAATTTAAAATTATTGTTCAGACCGAATGGTAAATAGTGGTTAATGTGGTTAGCCTACACGTCCGGTCATCGTTTTATTATTACGTATTTCTTATAACCGATCAGTAGTGTGCAGTGGTGTAAATTGCTCAATCAGGGTGTTTGGGCTTGCTGCAAAAATATGACGAGCTACCATGTTTGACTTAAAATGCAATTGTGTATAATGTGAATTAATGTTAGTGTGTATACTACGAAAAATTAAGATAAAAAAAGAAACTACAGTTGGTAAATGCTTCATAAATTGGTAACTAAGTATTGCTGGAACAAAAATAATTAATCAGATATAAAATATAAATAATTCATAGCAATCAAATAATAAATAATTTATTAGTACGAAAATTAGCCCTTTTCGCTCAATCATTTAAATATATAATGATGTAACAAACAAATAAAATAATGTGAAATACTAGTAAAATTCACAATAGTGTGAAGCTTAACGCTGGCATGCCACTTATCGAGTTTTAAATGATTAAAATAACACTTGTAAATATAGTAAAAATATGTAAAAATAAATTATAAAACAGTATTTTAAAAATCACGGTAATTCGCTCACGCGTCCAAAATTAACAATTCGTGGTAGTAAAATTGTACAATAATAATAAATCATTGATGCCACTACTACTGCACAAATAAAATCTTAAATAGTAAAGAAGTGATATTTGTGTATTAGAAAAATATAAATAAAAATACGTACATACTGTCAGCATGCATACTGTCATAACGTCAGTTGATACAACACACACACTGAGGAAAAATAATTCACGAACGCCGGACATTATAATTATTAGAAATTCACAAAAATATATAAACATACTTTGCAATATTGATATTGCGTGGAAATGGTGATGATCATCCGATATTAAAATTCATAAAACGGCCTATTCGCGAAAACAAAAATATCATATACGCCAGCTGATGTGAATGTGTACAAATAGGAAGTGCTCATTAATAATAATAAGTAAAATAAACAAAATAAATTATTTATCCCCGTAGTCACGGCCCAAAGCGCATCACATTAACATTTGCCCGTCCAACTATCTGGAAGTGTATAGACGCTTTCAAATGATAAGTAAGCTTATGTAAATGAAAAGTTGAACAAATAATTGTTGGAAATAAAGTTGAGATAAAACGGAAATATAAGAACCAGGCAGAAAGAATTATTTAAATACTTAGTAAATATGAAAGCAGAATTATTTTAGAATTTTTAAGAAGGATATATCATCATTTTCGCGTATTTTTAGCGATAAATTGTTCACGATGTATTTTACCATACTTCCATTTTCCAAGATCATTTGAATTTTTGAAATACTATTAAAGACTGAAAGGATATATATTATTATGTAAACATGTGGTGATTTCATGTCATGTGTAAATGTATTATTATAGTTATTTGTTATGACTAGGGAACATTGAAACAAAACAAATAACTTGACAAATACGAAATTTTAAAATTAAATTGGATTCGGGTTTTACCCGATTTTTTTTTTGGTATTTAGTACCATAGTTTTTGCCACACGAGTAAAATAGAATATTGTAACCGTTT